GATCTGTGTATTGGACCGTAAAACTGTATTCAGGTGTCATTAATAGATATCCTTTATCCACTGGTACACAGGACACAAAATCAATTCAATTTCCATCATTATCACCAGAATTATTTTCAGAGAACCAATTCTAAGATCAAGAAGATACCTCAGTGCTCTGCATTCTTGGGTGAACGTATATTGAACATTTGTTAGATGACCAATCTGTTCATTCGATTTAGATTATGGACCATATGTTTTTCTTAGGATTGATTGTGTGGGTGCCATTCTTAAGGACCTTCTCTTATCACCACTCAGGGAAGATGGATTAAAGAATAGATCAGAACTACCACATCCAGTTTTCTCCGTGTCCTCTGCACATTAATTTTCCATTAACTCCTCCCTGAACTTATAAATATCTACTCAGAAAAACTAGGCTCTAGAAATCCCAAATGAATTAATCTTTGTTAGCTGCTGATAAAATTTTTTATCATGGAAAATATTCTCCATCTGCCCATGACTGCTAAAAGTAGGGACTTAATGTAAACATTAATGTTTCATTTTATACAAACATACACACAGACACACACCACAATAAAAATATAAAAACAATATTTAAAGTGATATGTAAGAACAAGAACAGAGAAAATAGCTTGTATAATAATTATAACTTAAACTCTTGTTCACATTAATAACATGTCATTGAGCATTGTAACTCACATTAGTCATTCATCAAGCCTTGAGAACACTGTATACATGTCACTTTGGTAAACACCAAGGAATATCACAATAAGCACACTTCCTACAGGAAGTCATATTACTTCTGCCCACTTTTCCCCTCAATCCAGAGAGCAAATGGCAGGGAAATCATGGAGTCTTTAACTTTTGCCCAAGGGAGCGTATGTCTCTTGCCAAAAAAGAAAACCCCATAAAAGATGAAAAGAAGTCTCCTAGTGAGATCTATCCTTTATCCTTTAGAGAAAATATAAAAGTTTACTCTTTAAATGACTTCATACTTTATAATACTGTAAAAATGCAAATAAGGGAAGGGACATGAAATTTCTGGTTTGGACTTACCTAATAGGTGCCTATATAAAATAAATTTAGAAATATATAATTTTAATAACTCCTAAAATAGTTATAACTTCCTCTTTTCAAAGTTAACCATGCGCTCATTTGTTTTACTGTTCTTTCTGAAAGTACCATTTCCTGGTTTCAAAACCTAAGAAAAAGTAGAAAATATCTGTTTTAATTATCAAAATTTCTGGAAGAAGTGATTTTTGGATGAAATTATCTGGATAAAATACCTAGTTGGTTATATGATATATGAATTCATTACTCTTTAGCATCTTGATTCCTTTCCTCACCCTCATTTCTATTACTAAGAAAATATGGGTACAGAATAACACAAGAATTCTTCATTTTCTGAAGAATATAATATTTTACTCATAAAGTACATTCTGATTACTGTGTCACATAGAGTTGTGATACTACTAATTCTATAAAAGAGAAAAAAAAAGAAAAACTGCCCATTTCCAATTTTTTTGAACCATATTGAGCGTTATTTGAATACAAAAAAGCCGGTATACATTGAAATGTATTACATTATTTCTACAAATGTTATATGTAAATTTCATATATTTATTATTGGGAATTTTTAATTTGAAAAATGTTAGAGATTTAGTGTAGTATGCAAAAAAATCAGGAGTTTTAAGCTAAATATAACTGTAGAACACATAAGACTGAAAATAATACATTATTTTTATTTGCATGTAGTTCTTTCAGCAATACTAGACAAATAAAAAAACATTTGCAATTAAACCTAATAGTGATTTTATAGCAAAAGATGGGTTAACTTGTTCTTAAATCTTTAAAGTCAGCACAAATTAAAAACCATCTGCAGTTGGTGTTTAGATCTTATATAGGATCGGGATATAGTGAACCAACTTGATCTGTCATGGCAGGATCCTCACCTAATACATGCTTTTATATTATCATTTCCCTGAAGATCTAGGACTGTGCCTTGCATTTAGCAGACGCTTAATAAATTTTGAATGAATTATTACCAGTTTTATGCTCCACTAATAAAACAAAGACCTCCGGGATCAGATAGTACTTTATACTTTTACATCAACTGACTTTCCATCTTGCAGAATCACATTCATCTTGTTTCCCTAGATCAGTGCTTATGAAATTAACCAAGTTAACTAAACACATTCAATATTTGATCCACATCAAAAAGCCCTTAAAAATGCTTTGAAGGGCAAGCAATGACACTCAGTGTCCTCTTTGGTCTTCAGTGTCCCCTCATTTGACAACTTTGTGGTTCTTGCCTTAGAGCAAAGGGAGAGTCTTTTTTGTTTGTTTGTTTTAGCTTATTATTTTCCCCACAAAGGAAGCTTTTCTGGAAGTTAAAAGACATATTTTAGAGCATAGAAACATACCAGCACACAAATTTTATTCTCATGCCTTTAAGATGAAGAGATCTCCAGACTCACCAATATCCCAGAAAGGAGTTTTGTGTTTCCTTACTGAAGTGGTTCAAGGACTCCAAATTACCATAAATCCAATCTTGCTTGCTGATGATATCAAGTTTTTTTGAAGTACTTTCTGTTAAGAGTTACTTAATTTTCTTTTGTGGTATCAATCTAATTATAACCAACAAAAAGTTAAGCAATGTCAATACACTAGATTGTGCGGGTAGAATGTTCAAGTTTTAAGCTGTCCTCTCTTAGGTAGAAAGCATTTCCAGACTTCCTTTATCTGACATAGAGCTCTAACCATATGACATCTGATTTTCTCCTACCTATTGAAAGTCACAGTGTAATCAATAGCCTTACTAAATCCAGGCGGTGCTCTACCCATAGAGCTTTATTTCTGAGTAATATATGGATGTGCTTGTGGGCTTGTTTTTGCATCTTCCCACAAACTAGCTGGGAGAAGGAGAAACTTCATTAAAAAGACATTTGTCAGGATGCTAAAGGAAAAGGAAAATCCTCCACAGACTATTTACCTAATTTCCAACCAATACAGGATTACTCCCACCAGGAATCATTTACTGCTTTACTGTCCTAAGTGATGGAACTGTTAGCGTCTCTTTTGGCTGACTGCTTTGCAATCTAGCCGCTTTCAGATGTGAGAAAAGCTATCTTAATATTCATACAGAACTTCCGGCTCACTTCATTTCTTCCAACATTGATCTTACAATGTCCCATGGGCAAAGCTTATCCTCTGTTCATTGAAACCCCAAATGTGCCAGAGTCACACAAGCAAGGTATTTGGGAAAAGGCTTGTCCACATTTTAGTCAGCCCACCAAAGTGCTCACATTTGCTGCTTATTTCATTTGCTTCTCTCCTGCCTTTCCCCATGGGGAGCGTCCATCCTAATACCTGCTTTATAGACCCACAGTGACTGGCCAGCAGATTTTTAAATCTACCAGTTTATGCTGAAAACAGAAGATGATGTGATTAGATTAATGTATGCATTGCTTGTTGGAAGCTTGACATCCTAACTTCAGCTCTGGCTTTATATGAGAAGAATTTCTAAAATTCCAAATGTATGGTCTGTTAACAAGATTTAAGTTTTTCCATCACAACTGTTTTGCAAATAAAATGATGAAATCTTGGGAAAGCGTCAGCAAGAGGAGTGTTTGGGATGCTGAACAATGTCACAAGAGCAGGACTTGAAATTCTTAAAGAAACAGATAAATAGGGGTGCCTGGGTGGCTCACTCAGTTAAGAGTCTGCCTTTGGCTTAGGTCATGATCCCAGAGTCCTGGGATGGAGCCCCCCATTGAGCCCCACATGGAGCCCTGCATGGAGCCCCACATTGGGCTCTGCACTCAGCGGGTGGTCTGCTGAGGATTCTCTCTCTCCCTCTACCCCTCCTGCTTGTGCTCTCTCTGTCTCTGTCTCTGTCTCTCTCTCTCTTAAATAAAAATCTTTAAAAAGAAGACGAAAAATAAAATCTATGCATGTGAGCAAATGACCTATGTTATTGTGGCTGACTGCCTCAGTTGGCTTCCTCTACATCATCCACTGATTGTAACTGCTTTCAGAAATAACTCTCTGAAGTGAATAAATGGAACATTAGCTGAATTCTTGTATGTGTTTGCATATAAATTCAACTCCCAAATGTGTTCCTATAAATTGTCAACCCAATAGATATTCTAGAATTCAAAACCTATTAAAATAATTACAGGTCTACAAGTGTGACAATAGAAAAAAGTATTACCTGTGGTGAAACACCATTAGTTAAAGTTGGCTGATGGTACAATTCTGGTTATTTCCTGGCTCAATGCTCTTAAAGACTGCTTTTACAACTGTTGCACACCTACTGGAAAGCAGTGTTTCCAGTAAGGTGATACTAAAGAAGTTTTCTTCCTTCCCTGCTTTGTTTGTAAGAAATATTCAGAACAGGTATGTGTGTGGTACCATAACCCCATTCTTTACTCCCTATCTACTACCTCATTCCCAGGCACCTATTTGGCACATACCACGAGGATTGCTCAATACCCATTTATAAGACAAAATGTAGAGTAATAATGCTAATTTGCCACAAAGTCATGTCAGATGAATGGATTTCTTATAGCATGAAGGAGGGGGGCTCTACCTCTCTAGGAGGCATGACTAGCACCCTTTCTGTTCTGAGATGTTCAGGAAAGTAATATTGAGATTCATACCCTTGCTGTACCTTCTGGGAACGCTTTTTGCAAGAAGATAGGAAAACAAAACAAAACAAAACAAAACAAAACGAAGAGGGTGGACGACTTTTCAGAGAGGAATTGAACTTAGCTTGTTTAAAAGAGTATCTATTCATTACAGATTTTTCTCACACATAAAAAATAACATTTCCTCACAAAGTATACTGGAATTAATATTCTTAACCTTTCTCTGAGGTGGCCAAAATACCTTGTTCAATTGTTTGTGTGTTTTAAAATATTTATTATTTCTGTCTATTTTCTTTCATTGTGCATTCATATACTCCATCCCTAATATTCTTATGTTTTTCCAACAAACAGGTCGTCATGGAGATGGAGGTTATTGGCCAGTTGATACTAATTTGATTGATAGAAGCACTCTCAATGGTAAGTCGATCAATTAGGTCTATTGGATTAGTTATATTAATTAAATGGTTAATTCTAGAGTGTCTGGGGAATATTTTTTTTACTTACTGAAAGTGTTAAGAACCCCAGACCTCAGTTTTAGTGGAGATAATAGAAAGATGAAATTATTAGCAAACCTGTAGCATATTCTACCAGCAGACAATGCCAATGAGAGTCAACAAGTGCACAAAACAGATTAGTTAGAAAAGCTGAGAAAAATCACCTTGTAAGTGATGCAGGGTTGTTAACAATAGAATATCTAGATTTTGAAGTGTTATATATATTTAAAATGTTTCCAGAAAATTTAATATTATTAGAGAGAGGTGATATCAAGGGATTTTGAACTAAACCCACTCAGTTTCTTAAAATGAAGTCACTGGGACCTTTTGCCTGGAGAGTTTACTCTTCAGAATCCTCTAGCACCTTATTGCTAATTTTTCTTCACGCTCTCAAGATTAAACATTTATTTCTGCACATTCTAATGGACCATTCACATGCTTTTGGGTTGAGCAGACAGAGATAATATCTGAACTGCACAGAAGAAGCAAGTTGGTGTTGGGAGCTGTCTTCTGGGATCTTGTCCTCAGTTTTGCTGAAACAGAAACTCTGGGAGAATGGAATAATACTAGCCAAACTCTCAAGGGACTGATGTATATATGCTAAATTCCTTTTATAGATTTTTTAAAAACTGCTCCAGTTGCTGTTGTTTGGTTTGGTTTACTATAAATATAGTCTATATATTCAAAATATAAATATGAATGCTTGTGTACCCATCAGCAAGGTTAAGATATAAAATATTCAACATACAATTGAAATCTCTTATATGTCTCTGACTTAACACATGCTCGCCACCATTTCCTTCATTCCTCATTGATGTAACCATTCTCCCAAATGTGGTGTTTACTGTATAGATACATATCCCTAAATGTTATATTATTATACATGTTTATCACTTTATAGAAATGACATCATACTACATGTATCTTGTTGCAACTTGCATTCATATTTAATTTTGTTTTTAAGATTTACCCATGTATTTACAAATACCTCTCCTTCATTTATCTTTACTGCTGTAGAGTGTTTTATTTTATGAAAATAACACAATATATGTATATAACCATTTTAGCAGGTTTTCATGAGAAATTTGATTACTGAATAGATATTCATTTGGGTGGTCTCCTATTAAAAAATCCATATGGGGGTCACCTGGGTGGCTCAGTCGCTAAGCATCTGCCTTCGGCTCAGGTCATGATCGAGCCCCTCATCGGGCTCCCTGCTCAGCGGGAAGCCTGCTCCTCCCTCTCCCACTCCCCCTGCTTGTGTTCCCTCTCTCGCTGTGCCTCTCTCTGTCAAATAAATAAACAAAATCTTTAAAAAACGTCCATATGGGAAGCTAAAATTGCAATCTAAAAATTGCTTGCTGGATGAGAAATTAGAATAAGGGGGTGAGTTACATGATTATTTCCTATTATAGGCTATAATAACCTAATGTATCTATTTTCTCAAAGAGGACATATGTGTCTGTGGAGTAGACCAGATGCTCCAGTTAAAGACTCAGTATCTCCTCCTCTGGCCAGTGGTGGACTCAGGAACATATTTTTACCTATTGACTCTTCTTTTGTAATTGCCAAGCATGCCCTCCTCTGCTAATAATGCATTTACTTAACCAGTATATTAAAATAAAATGAGTATAATTTCTTACATTTAAGCTTCCTTAATATATTCTAGTCAGACCTATCTAAGGTTATATCCAGAATGCTCTTTCCAGATTACTACAATCCTCATCACTTCCTATTGTCTTGTACACAGATCCTCTTCCCTCATTAAGTAACACTATTGTCTCCTATAGGTATTTCAGGTTTAGACACCTGCCATAGCTAGTACCTGGCTCTTGTAGTTTCCAGGCTCCCATACACACAAGGGACACTGTAGGGAGCTCAGAGCAGGAAGATGAGAGGAGGGATATGTTGAGACTGAAAATAGACCAAGGGTGTACTCCTTAAATAAGTTTAGATAATGGTGGTTCCCTTCCCAAAAGCGTGCAGGTTTTATCAACTCATTCTTTTGCCTCAAATTTTATCTTGAGTCTCAAAAATATGCCAAACGCACTTCATGCATTCAAGCAGTCAGTTAAGAAATGCTACTAAGCCCTCACTGTGTGCCGGGAGCTCATTATGAGCTATGCCCACATATTGAAAACTATAACCCCACAGGAGCAACAAACGAAGAGGGAGAATTACCCAGGTGGACAAGACAGAGAAATACACTCCAGGAAGATGAAAGAGAGTGAAACAAATCCCAGGGATGTGAGGGAGGGTAAAAGAAGGTCATTGTTGAAATTGTGTGGGGAAACAACATGGTAGTATTTTTTGCCCTGAGATAGGGAGATTCTAGGTTTAGAGTCCATGCCAGGAATTAACATCATCCCCTTTCAAATCATCCTGCAGAGCTGATTTTCAGATGCTGTTCTATAGAGAGTTTCAAATTGGAATTCATCCACAGCTAAGGGCATGACTATCTATACTGGCATATGATGGTGTTTTTTGAAGAGACAGTGCCAGGAAATTGAGAGTCAGCATGGATAATTGAGAAGGAACAATTGTCCCTTCACCATTCCTCCTCGCTACTAAGCCATGGTCATGTGTGTTAAAGGTGGAGCAGATGTAAGCCTCAGACATAGAACCATGTATTCCCTTAAACTGCACATCCCAAGGAGCTTTCATTTTGGATAAAACTGCCAAATTTAGCAACTCAAAATACAGGAGGCCCACTAAATTTCAATCATTTCTAATTGCTTCTAAATATGAGATAAAGGAAAATATTGCAAAGAATTTCTATCTCAATGTACATATGCATCTCAAGGTACATAATTGTAGGCAACTAGAAATACTTGAAATTTAACTGAGTCCCCTGTATTTTTAATTACTAAATCTAGCAGTCCTAATTTTGGATCAGGTTTAAAAGTTTGGTATTAACTAATTTAACTTGCCCTTCAAAAAAAGTGAGGTTTCTGGAAAGAAACCCCACACTAAATTGGACGCAAACAGGTAAGTCAACAAGAACTTTACACAGGAGTCAGACCTCAGATGAAGAGAATGACGGTGACAGTAATTGAGGGAAATGCATGTCATTGTATTTTTTTTTTTTGCCATTGAAGATTCCTCATGAGAAAGATAATTGTAATTAAACTGAGTCTAATATATATTATCTCACCAGAGAAAGTCATGGAGATAAAATAGAGGAATGGCAGCCAGTGACTGCCACTGCGAGAGAGGCAGCGGAGGGCAAACTCAATCTGTTTCCCATTCTATTTTGCTAACCCATAAATGATGGTAAATATGTAATTTAACTTTAGCTTGGGTTATTATAGGCCAATCAGCTAAGGCATCTTGAAATACCCTACCTTCCTAATTAAAGTTCTGCTAATGTCTTAAGCGTTAAGAAGGGGGTATAATTTCTAAATTGATGTACAAATGAAGCCTTGACTGATAAAACTGCAACCCACCCAACCTAGGCTGCATCAACAAAAACATTTTAAAATCTGAGTTTTTGAACCTCATAACCACGGAAAATTTCATACAGCTACTCTTAGGGTGACAGAATTATAAAGTTTTCCTGTCTCTCCCTACACTTCCTGGATTCATCCTTCAAATAATTGTAATAGACTAATGGCTTATTGTCAGGATACTCAAGCTAGTTGCAAATAAATTTAGACCTCACCAATCACTTATTCTTTCTTACAGAATGCCACTTTTTAAAAAATGTACTCTTGGAATTCAAGTAAAGAAAAACAAAGCTATAGTTCATGTTTACTCTTGTAGTTGGAAGCCCTTAATTAAATTGAGGAAAATGAAGAGGCATTCTAAATTATTTTCTGATGGCAGGTAGAATCAAAGCTAATATGTACTGATATGCTAATATTTTACTTTTATGATGCATTCAATTTTATGGTCCACATTCTTAAAGCAGGAAAATCTTCAACTTCTGAAATGTGATTTCCTAGTTTATATTTGTATGAATAAGAACAACAGTGACAATTACTTCAGTCCTGCTTTTCTCATTGGGGAAGATAAATCACCAATTGCTTTTGTCAGTGGTTCTTCCTGTAATTTGTGAAATTAGCAATCTTGGCTAAGAGATCTATGATCCCTCCAAATATGTTGCTATATTGATTTCAACCTTTAGAAACCAAATTAAGTTTGATAGGTATTGATGCTTTGGTGAAATATTGTTAAAAAGTCAATATTATTAATTTTTAAATATTCAGAGTCATATTAGGTGTTCTGTAAAACATGACTTACACTCTGTGTTTAGGAGAAAAGACCATGATTTGCCCCCTACTTTTTTTTTCAATTTTTTTTAAAGATTTTATTTTATTTATTTGACAGAGAGAGAGAGAGAGCACAAGTAAGCAGAGAGGCAGGCAGAGGGAGAGGGAGAAGCAGGCTCTCTGCTGAGCAGGGAGCCCGACGCAGGGCTCGATCCCAGGACCCCAGGATCATGACCTGAGCCGAAGGCAGCCGCTTAACCGACTGAGCCACCCAGGCGCCCCTTTTTTTTTCAATTTAATTTACTTTTATTATGTTAGTCCCCATACAACACATCATTAGTTTTTGATGCAGTGATCCATCAAACACCCAGTGCTCCATGCAGTACGTGCCCTCCTTAATACCCATCACCAGGCCAACCCATCCCCCTACCCCCCTCCCCTCCAAAACCCTCAGTCTGTTTTTCAGAGTCCATAGTCTTTCATGGTTCATCTCCCCCACCCTCCCCAATTTCTACTTTTGAAAAATTTTGTTTTATTATTTTCAGAACTCAATAACATTTTAGCTAATCTAAATAGAGTCTGCATTAAAGCTCTTCCATATTTGCATGAAATGATCATTCTGAGGTTGGCGAGCTGTTATAAGATATTGAACAGACACCTTAATGTCAAGAGAAAGGTCCAGAAATAAAACTTTATGTTGTTTCCCTGACAG